GGAGCGAGTCCACACGCACGTCGCCTTGTTGTTTTTTTCTATGGGGCCCACAAGCCCCTGACAGGAAAAAACAAAAAAAGCCGAGAGTTTCCCCCTTCTGAAACACGAGAAATATAATTTGGCTACCCTGGGCCTGCGAGGTCCCCGCTGGCAATCTACTTGCCCCGTCAAAAAAAAAGGCGACGTGCGTCTGGACTCGCTCCATTAATACCACTCATGGGTCGAACCCTCCCTCGGGAAGCAGGGATCACTCCGTCAATCAGCGAGAACAAGTTCTGCTGAAAATCTCGGGAGAGTATGCTAACCACGCTTGGGAAGGTATCTGGCCATGGATGTGGTTGGGGAAAGGCTGTGATTGGCCATACGACTTTCCTGTCCAGACTCGTATCGCCCAAAAGCAATATTGTAGACTTCAAAAACTTCCTGCGGGGCGGCGGAATGGCGTGAGCCTCTTGAATATCGAAACAAGTAGTGACCACTGAAAAGCGCGGACTCAAAGGAGAGCGACATCCAAGCACGATTGCGACGAGCAGACACACACACACACATGTCATCAAACTCATACAAACGAGCAGCCGATGCATGCAAAACCGGCCGAAGGCGGCAGTTTAGCTTCGGCAGTTTAGCTAAAACATGTGTTGTTCGGGGGGCCTGCAATGTGGCCCTCCTAGAAGGATGCCAGTGCCTCCCTCCGGCACTTCTGGGTCGTTCTGGGACCGCGCGATTCTGCTCGGTCCTAGCCCGGCAAGGACGAAACGATGATGATGATGCCCAGCAATGCCAAGCAACGCTAGGCAACGCAAAGCAAGACGCAAAACTGCCTAGAGTTGGCTCCAGGCACCCAAGATGTGGCCTGGGAGTGGTGTTCTGGGAACACGAAGAGCACAAAGTGGCCTACAGTTGGCTCCGGGCACTCGCGATGTGGCCTGGGAATGGTGTTCTGGCAAGATGCATCGTGATTCCGGAGAAGAGTTTCACACTTTCCAACGTTATGATTTTTTGTGTCCTAGCCTGGCTAGGACGAAACGAACATGAAAACCACGAAGTGCGATAGGGTTACAACTTTCCAACGTTATGAATGCCTTTTTGGAGCTCTGGTGCAGGACTTCCTCACAAAAACGACGCCGTTCGTAACGTTGAGATTTCTTGAATAAAGAAATTTGAATATTCTTATTTAAGCATTTCCAACGTTACGATCGGCGTCGTTTTTGCGAAGAAGTATTAAGCTAGAGCTCCAAAAAGGCATTCATAACGTTGGAAAGTTGTAACCCTATCGCACTTCGTGGCTTTCATGTTCGTTTCGTCATAGCCAGGCTAAGACCGAAAAAATCGTAACGTCCTAGAACGCCATTCCTGGCAATCTCATCGCCGTTTCGTCCTAGCCAGGCTAGGACCGAGCAAATCGTAATGTCCCAGAACGCCATTCCTGGCAACCTCATCATCCCTTCGTCGTAGCCAGGCTAGGACCGAACGCATCGTAACGTCCGTCCGAGCCACGCACAGATCCGACAAATCGTCGCGGCTCGGCTTAAACAAAAGGCACCTCCCTGAACGCCATTCCCGGCGATCGCATCGCCGCGTCGCCTTAGCTACGCCTGAGCAAATCGTCCGGCGACCCGACAAGCGTTCCGACTACGAGGGCTGCGCCGAGGAGCCCAGCCACGCCACAGTCTTGGATGCCCGACCGCAGCGCCCCCACCCGCGAACGCAGCGCCCCAGGGCCAGAACGCGCCGAACAAATTCACCCGGAATCCCGATGGCCTTGCCGACGCCGCGACGCGGGCGACAGTGCATCGACATCGAACCCCAAATATCCTATCCGCGGGCTTCAATCTGGCACGGCTTTTGCAAGGGCAACTCGGGCGGGATACGAAGTCTGCGCACGTGCGCACTACGCGCGCAGAACAACGACTGCACCCTGGCCATATACTGACCAGATCGGAGAACCGAGCTGCTCGCGCCGCGCGTCTGCTGGCGATGGGCGCAACGGACTGCGCCCTGGCAGCGGCGCGGCCAAGCTCAACTGGAAAGGAGCAACGAATGCCCCCCAGCCACCGCCGAGCCACGTGGAAAAATCGAACAGCCCGCGCCGCCTCGGGCCCGAGGAAGGCATCGACTATGACTGCATGGCAAAACGCGCCCGAACGGTCGGGCTCGGGGGAGAACCCTCAGTCGTTCTTCGGGGCGTAGCCGTCGGCGTCGACGATATCCTGCATATTTGGGCGCATTCGCGCAATCACGCTCTTCACGTAGTTCTTCGGCAACTTCTGCGCGCAACTCTTGAGCCGCTGGAGGAAGGCGTCCTTGGTCTCCGTCGTCTTGGGCGCCGTCTGGACAAGGCGCTTCTCTATGGCCTTCCATATGGAGAAGTCCAGGGGCATCACCGAGGGGGTCCGCGGCGGGAGCGTGAGAGCCTTGATGCCGCACGCAGACTTAGCGTCGATGCCCTTTTGGCTCTGGTTGCCCTTCCGGCCCCCGTCTTCAACGATAGTGTAAGATTTGCGGGGCCCCCAGGTGCGTCGCAGCGCCTTTAGAAGTTGCCCAGAGTAGGTGTCTGCGGCCTTCTGCCCATTCCACTTGCCGTCCTGCGCGTGCCACAGAATGACCCGGTCCTTGGCAACCGCCGCTGTCACGCAGACCGATGGGATGCCCAGGAAAGAATGGTTCTGCCGAGGCTTCGTCATGCCCTTCTCCGTCCCCTCGCTTGGCTTGCGAAGGTGTCCAGTTACCAGGGTTTGCCTGTACTTGGCGCGCTGCTTCGGAGTGAGGGGCATGACCCAGCTCTTGTTGTCCACCCACGCGTGCACGCCCGTCTCCCAATACTTCTTCGGGCGCTTCAGCCAAGCCTTCAGCGTCTCAACGCGGACCTTGGCGTCCTCCTCGGTCAACAAGATCTTCTTTCGCGGCTGCCTGAAGCGCGCCCCCTTGTTGCCCATAGTAGGTGTCTGCGGCCTTCTGCCCATTCCACTTGCCGTCCTGCGCGTGCCACAGAATGACCCGGTCCTTGGCAACCGCCGCTGTCACGCAGACCGATGGGATGCCCAGGAAAGAATGGTTCTGCCGAGGCTTCGTCATGCCCTTCTCCGTCCCCTCGCTTGGCTTGCGAAGGTGTCCAGTTACCAGGGTTTGCCTGTACTTGGCGCGCTGCTTCGGAGTGAGGGGCATGACCCAGCTCTTGTTGTCCACCCACGCGTGCACGCCCGTCTCCCAATACTTCTTCGGGCGCTTCAGCCAAGCCTTCAGCGTCTCAACGCGGACCTTGGCGTCCTCCTCGGTCAACAAGATCTTCTTTCGCGGCTGCCTGAAGCGCGCCCCCTTGCTCCGCAGGGCCTCCTCGCAAGTGCGCTGACACGCGCGGCCCTCCATGTCCGCCGCCGCGACCACGTCGGCGCAAGTGACAACCCCGTTAACTGTTTTGTTGGGGTCTGCACCAAGCGCTTTCCGACTCCGTCGAGCTTTCGGCGTCTTGGAGTCAAGACGGCCTTCCGGCCGCGAAGTCTGCCTGGCCGCCCGCTGGGTGGCTAATGCACTTGAACGTACCTTAAGAACGGCGATTGTGTCATGGGTCGCCACCTTTGTAGGTCCGCGTGCAGCGCGTCGCTGGTTCACATCGCGGGTGTCGTCGGCGGCGCCGTTTGCCGCGTGCCATGGCGGACTTGGACGATGAGGGGCCGAGTTCGAATCGCTCAAGCGCGGCGCAGCAAAACTCCAGCGCGGGGCATGTGGGCTGGGCGAAATCGCAGCACAAAAAGCGGCCGCGCGTCTGGGCGTCCGTGAGTCGGGCACCCGCGAGGCAGATCGCTCGAGCATGGTGAATGGCACGGGGAATGCGAGATGACGCCTGATGACGCCGCGGCAACTGCAATGCGGCCTGGAGGCGTAACCTGCGAGACCTGCGGGGCATGTGGGACCTGCAGTGCCTGAATGGGCAGTGAGACCTGGAAAACCTGCGACGCCCGTAGGACTAGGGGGGGCCCTGTTGCGCGTGGGGCCCGCGTGACTTACGGAGCCTCCTGGGACCTGCGAGAGCAGTCCGGCTTGCGGGGCCTGCGACGCAGGTGGGACTCATGGGGCCATCGGGACTTGCGACCCCTGTGGGGATTGGTTGTCTTACGTGGCCCGTGGGGCCTGCGGGGCCCGCGGGAGCTTGCGGAAGCAATGCGCGACGTCGACGGGCATCTGAAAGCGGTGGAGGCGAAGTGCGCCAGCAAAGTTGCAATCCAAACGCAAGTTTGGGGCCGCGTCAAAATGGCAGCCGTGGCTGTAAAAAATTAACGCGAAAACCATTCGTAACGTTGAATCCGCCATGCAAAGAGATATGCCAAGACCTCGGCGTAACCCGCCACGGGTGAAGGACAAGTTCTTCCGTGGTTCGCGTTTATTTTTTACATTTTCATTGGCTGCCAGACATCTTGCCGAAGCATTCTTCCTGAGGCCGTTGAATGGCGAAATCCAACGTTACGAATCGATTTCGCGTTAATTCTTTACATCCACGGTAGTAGTAGTAGTAGTAGTAGTAGTAGTAGTAGTAGTAGTAGTAGTATTAGTAGTAGTAGTAGTAGTAGTAGTAGTAGTAGTAGTAGTAGTAGTAGTGGTAGTAGTAGTCATAGTAGTAGTAGTAGTAGTAGTAGTAGTAGTAGTAGTAGTAGTAGAGTAGAAGTAGCAGTCGTAGTAGTAGTAGTAGTAGTAGTAGTAGTAGTATAGTAGCAGTAGTAAGTAGTAGCCGTATTAAGTAGTTTGTTTTGTAGTTGTAACTTGTGTAGCGGGGGTAGTAGTAAGTAGGAGTATATACTATACTATAGTAGTAGTAGTAGCAGTAGTAGTAAGTAAGTAAGTAGTTAGTAGTACTATAGTACTCTAGTATAGTAGTAGTAATAGTAGTAGTGAGTAGTAGTATAGTATAGTATTAAGTAAGTAGTAGTGGTAGTAGTATTAGTAGTAGTAAGTAGTAGTACTAGTAATAGTAGTAGTAGTAGTAGTAGTAGTAGTAGTAGTAGTAGTAATAGTAGAAGTAGTAGTAGTAGTAGTAGTAGTAGTAATAGTAGTAGTAGTAGTAGTAGTAGTAGTAGTAGTAGTAGTAATAGTAGTAAGCCCTTTTTTCACCGCTTCGCGGACGGCACTCCGGACGGGGGCCGAGTGCCGCGGCTGGGGCGACGGACCGTCCCTGCCGCTCTTTCTTCAGCTAGCGCCGCACTGTGGGGGCGGGGTCGAAAGCCTCCGGGAGTCCAGAAAATATCCGAAACCCCCGAAAACATCCGAAGAATACCAAAGGCTTTCGAACCCCCGAACACCACGGAAGACCATTGGTTCTGGCGTTTTCGGACGCCTCTGGAGGCCACCGGGCCCCCCGGAGACTCCCAGAGGCCCCCTGGAGAGGACGAGTGAGGAGCTGACGAGACGAACGAGGAGCCAAGAAAAGGATGCATGCGGAGAGCGGTGAGGAGTGGGAGGGATGAGCGAGAAGTCGGAAGGATGATGATGATGATGATGATGATGATGATGACGATGAGCTTTCGGAGGCCTCTGGAGGCCTTCGGGAGACCCCGAACACTCCCCAGGGGCCCCCAGAGGCCCCCGGAGTTTCGAGCCGCATGCTAATCCGACTGGTCCACCAAGGGGTCGAACATCATATTAAGGATCCGCGGCGCTAATATGATGCGAACTTGGCGTGATGATGGCAACGGTGATGATGATGATGATGATGATGCTGATGATGATGGTTTCTTCCGCGCCTACTGCTGGGCCTGCTCCGCTATTTGTACGCGTGTCTTGCCTCGCTCTGCGAGGGAATTGCTCCCCTGGCTACGGATGATGATGATGATGATGGCGATGATGATGGTGATGATGATGGTGATGATGACGTTGGCGCTGATGATGCTATGTGATGTCGGTGGTCATGATGACGATGGTCGTGATGTCGGTGGTCATGATGACGGCGGTCATGATGACGATGGTCATGATGTCGGTGGTCATGACGTCGCTGATGTTGCTGATGATGTCGGTGGTCATGACGGCGACTACGACAGCGGTGATGACGACGACGAGTTTTTCCGCTCGCAACAGCAGGCGCGACGCCGCGTTGGCCTCACAAGACGCGCCAGAGGCAGCGGCACGCCAGAGGCAGTGACTCGGCCACGCCAGAGGCCTGGGCAAGGCAACAGCAACCGCGACGCCGCGTTGGCCTCAGAAGACGCGCCAAGAGGCAGCGGCACGCCAGAGGCAGTGACTCGGCCACGCCAGAGGCCTAGGCAAGGTGTTCCCAAGGTTTGCTCTGATCCTGGCCGCTTCCTGAGGGCGGCGAATTGTCGGGCGACGCCCGAGGCAGTGCATTCTGGCCGCTTCCTGGGGCCGCTTCCTGAGGGCGGTGAGTTGGCGGGGCACCCTCAGGCCGCTTCAGGCCGCTTCCTGAGGCCACTCCCTGTTGGGGCGCTGTCGCTATTGCGGGGCACGCCAGAGGCAGCGCGACTTCGCCCGTGGCGGGGCGCCCCCCCGGTGGCGGGACGCGCCCCTCCTGCGCCACCCAGTTCGCCCATGTGATGGGCATGCCTTTGTTGCCTGCGCGCACGCGCCAGGCGAATTATCGGAGTGTTTATCGAGGAAGCCCTTTAGCCCCCCAGGCATTATTGAATGTGCCCCACGGGCGCCCGTCGCGCCAACACGCCTTCTTCCGGGAAATCCGCGACGGATCGAACTCACCGCCGTGCGTTTTGATAACGTCTTCGACGAGTTCAACTAAGCGCGCGTCAGCGCCATGCGCGTCAGCCTCCGAGCCAGGCCCTGGAGCCGCGCAGGGGCGCGCACTGGCAGCGCGTGCCCGCCAGAGGCAGGGTCGGCGGCGACGCCGGGCAGATTGGCCACGAGCACGTCGGGCGTTACCTTCCAGCGCGCCGGTCGGAGCACAACCTGGCCTGGGTTTTCGATGGCGAGCGAAGCGACGGCTCGGGGGCAAGCGAATTCCGACGCCTCGTTTTTCGTCTCGCTCTCCCCGATCGCAACGAGCCGACGGCCATCTCCAGGCGCAAAGCTGCCCGGCAAAGTCAGGCTGCACCGCCAGCCCGCGCCAGGGGCAGCGAATTCCTTGAAGCTGGTGACGGCTCGGACCAAAGCGCCTCCGCACTCTTTGGGGCGCGTCGAGGCATGGTTATTCAGCACGGCGTGCCAGCTGATCTTCTTGTCGCTGGCGCGCTGCCCCAGCAGGTACGCTTCGACCGCCTCGACGCGCGCGGCCTCGAAGTTCGGCCACGGCGCCGCCATGGAGACCGCGCAACGCGCGACGCGCCAGAGGCAGCGGCTTCGCGCACGGCGGAATAAGGCGCAGCGAGTGCGCTAGTGGCGAAGCGAGGAGGGCAGAGCATCAGCGGGTTCGAGCCGAAGTGTGACGCAGGGTGACCTTTGATTTTGCTGGGGTCCTGTTCAGTTTTCCTAGGGTCTCGTTTAGTTTTGGTAGGATCCTGTTTAGTTGTCCTAGGGTCTCGTTTAGTTTTGGTAGGGTCCTGTTTAGTTCTCCTAGGGTTTCGTTTAGTTTTGATAGGGTCCTGTTTAGTTGTCCTAGGGTCTCGTTTAGTTTTGCTAGGGCCCTGTTTAGTTTGCCTGGGGCCTCGTTTAGTTTTGGTAGGGTCCTGTTTAGTTTTCCGCGGGTCTCGTTTAATTGAAGCAGGGTCCTGTTTAGTTTTCCTAGGGTCTCGCTTAATTGTGCTAGCGTCCTGTTTAGTTGTCCCATGGTCTTGTTTAGTGTTGGTGGGGTCCTCTTTGAGTTTCCTAGGGTCTCGTTAGTTTGGGTAGGGTCCTATTTAATTGTCCTAGGGTCTCGTTTAGTTTGGCTAGGGTCCTGTTCAGTTTTCCTAGGGCCCTGCTTAGTTGTCCGAGG